TACAAAAGCAAAGTGCGTGCGCCCAGCTGCCTTTGCCCTTTAAGTCCTCAGTGCCATCCACTTCCTCCCTTCCAAGGTATGGCTATGCAACCGGCCTCAAGAGCCTGAGGCAGTACTCATTTTATAATAGCGCCAATAATTTCCACCCAAACCCTTAGCGAACTTGGGGCTTAAGCCTCTCCTAGCTATGCTGTCTGCTCTGACGTTGCAATTCACTATCCAGATGGTGTATTTTCATTGAGCTTCCCATGTTTGTTGGCTCCCGTTACAGCGTGGGACTGCAGCTTCTAGCAGATCCCCGGTTTGAACATGTAATTCCAAGTTTGCCCAGAGAAGCTTTATACCAGGTATTCGGTCTCCCAGTTTAGGATACTTCTCGCACCTTTTCCCCCCTAGTTTCTGCTACGGGGTGTGAGAAATCACCCCCAGGGGGCATGGCTAAGCCGATCCTTAGCGCTCCCCCCTCTCCAGGGAACTCTGGGCTCCGGGCTTGTTGTCAAGCCAGTCTGGGACTCTGCATGTGGGATCCAGCAGCCCCAACAGCCCCGCCACCGGGTAGCCCTCTTTTGCCTTTTAAGGCAAAGATCCAACTGTGTGTTCCCTATCCTCTTGGGGTCAGGAGGGTTCTCCAAGAAGTTCATGAAAAAATGCACGTTATGAAAAAACTGCCTAATTTCAAACTTTCTGTAAAAAAAAAAAATTGAATTCCATTTTTCATGAACTTTTTAAGTCTCCTTGTATTAGGAGAAACTGAAGGTGGCTGCCTTATTTGTTTCACCTGTGGCAAAAGGGTGGCTTGGCTAAGAACTAATCTACTTTTTTTAGATTTTGCCTTGCCTTGAGGAAGTCCTTTACTGGGGATTGGGAGTAGGAAGGGCTGCCTTTGAGGTCCATCTCTAAGTGGGTGTGGCCAGGAGGAATACCTGCATGAAAGACCACGGAAAAGGTAGGGGCAGACAGGAAGTAGATTCAAACAGTACAACATCACACACATTCACTTCAAGTTTTATTTTGCCTCTTGCATGGTCTTCAGTTATTTTTACAGTTTGATTCTTTACAGGAACTGAGCTGTGATCTAAACAATCAATGAAATGTCATTCCAGCCTTAATAAATAGTCATAACCATGGAAGATATCATAGAACTTTATGATCCTAGGGTGATGAAGGTATAATCTTAGATCTGTTTCACAGTTAATACCTGTGACCAATAGACCAAAGTGATTATTAATAAGCAAAATCTGAAAGCAAACTTGTTAAAACTCCTGATTCCATATGAGGTTAACCATGAAATCCTCTAAATAAAATGGTAAAATTGTCCACTAGTGTTCAAGATGTATTAAAAAAGAAAATAACAGTCATCTTAAAAATCTAGTAGGGACCTTCCCTTTACCTTAACCCTCAAAAATGCAAACTTGGTACCAGTTTTCCAATGTATCCTGTCTTTTATTAAAGGTCTCTACCCAAGAAAATGAAGAAGCCTCCTCCCCCCTTCTCACCCATTCAGTGTACATTCACAGACCTTGGCTGGAAGTCACTACCACTAGGTACAATGCTTTTAAGACTCTCTAGAAGCCCATACTGTCGAGTTCTGTGAAGGATACTCTCAGGTTTCCTTCTTTGCCCCTCTCCTCTCAGCTCAAAGTTAAAACAGTTGGTACACAACTGCAGGAAAGCAAGATAACAAAATACTGTCAGAAATTTATGGAGAAGTCAGCCAGCCATGATGAAAAAATGAATCCTGCCAGCCTCATGCTCAAAACTCTTAAAACAGCAGTCTAAATTAAAATACATAAAGCATTTGGAATTCATGGTTAAAGGAAAAAGGAAAGGGTAGTAAGCATAAATCACTGATGTGTGCTCATTTTCTCTCTTAAAAATTAGATAAAGACATGCAAGAATTGAAAACTCTGGTTTAATAAAACCAGTAGTAACAGGTCTTGAAATTAAAGGACAACTGATCAAAGGGGCAAGTGGGACTAATCTGTCCCTAAACCCTACTTCACAGATGTCAATACTAACACTTCACATGCTGACCTGCTATTGAGGTTAATTCCCAGAAGTTGACTGCACTTTGCAACAGACTTGAGTCCTATTGAAGTTAGGCTCTCGTACCCAAAATGGTCATGGCCTAGCCCCAGGTGGGAGGCACTTTAAAAATAAAAAATAATAATAATAAAAAAAAAGACAAAAGAAAAGAAAATCCACCTTCCAGTAATTTACATTATTCATATTCAAAGTGCCATCCTGAACCAATACCCTTTCATTGTCAAAAACAAATAAACCAGTAAACACAAAGGATAGTCAGATTACAGCTAGTTTATATACAAAGATTTACAAGTTTGTCAACTTTAAGCTTTTGACACAAACAACTGCACATTTGTCCCTACAAAGCACAACATGCCCAAACCAACGGTCACTACAGGAGACTATTGGCCATGGCTTTACAAAAAGCAGAAAAACTGCCCAAAATTGAAATCATTTATTCAGCTTAAACATAACACCACACCCATCCCACTTATACTCTTCACTGTGAAACTCCAGAAACCCACTAAATCTTTCTCATCTCTGCCATGTCTCCAAAGAATGAGAGACATTTCCTTCAATAAACCAAGGAAGATGACAGAAGTTATGTTGAGTACTCTTAGGTGAGAAATGCAACCACGCTGGATGCAGAAAATAGTGCTGACTACATTTATTGAAGACCCCCCTTCCTATATAAGCCCATGTAAGAGGTCTGGGCACCTAACACAAGACCCAAAAAGGAGGCCCACATCTCCGTTTCACACAAGATTTGCAGCTATCTTCTTCCAACCAGTGAATAGTCTGAAAACGTGATGGGTGAGTTTTACATAGTCCTCTTGTTTCCAATCCGAATGGCTGATCTGTTGTGGCTCCAGAGGCTGAACTGTATGAAGACCCCAACCACTACCCACAGGGTGGAGTTAAAGAGACTTTTGGACAGTTCACAGTGCCAACAAATGTCACAGGCTCCGACCAAGTATAACCACATCTTTTGGAAATCCTTCCATTTTTGCAATTTCAAAACAACCTAACTTGCTGTAAAATTCCAGAATTCTTTTATCATCTGGTCTCACTTCACAGAAAGCCCCCCGGGAGCCTAGAAATAAAAAAAAATAAAAAAATAAAAATAAAAATATAAGTCAATTTATTAGTAATTGTAGGTAGGAATTGTAGCTAATCTTTCATATATTTAATATAGCAAATAAGGGCTTGCTTATACCAGTTCCTAAATTCTGTACCACAACTTTTTAAAAATTCATTTTAATGTCCAAAGGCGGGTGAGGCTCCTTCCCCAGAGAGAATTTTTTTTGTGGAACAGTGGAACAGGGTATATATATAAGAAACCTCATGGCGGGAACCAGCAGTTAGCGTAATGGCTATGTCGCTGGACTCCCGCGTAGTCGACTGTGGTTCGCGACCTGGACCCGGTGGCTTAAAACTCACGCTGGGCACGTGTGCATGTGTGCCCAAGATCCCGAGAGAATGGAGGAGAAGGGATTGAGGCGTGACCATCCCCCCTGGGGGGTGATTTCTCGCTTTCTGTCTCTATGTCTCTCTGTCTGGCGAACGCATGCGCCCTATAGCGAAAAAAACCTCTCCAAAAAAAAAAAAAAAAGAAACCTCATGGCAAAGGACATCTGTTCAAAACAAAGTACTTCTTTTTTAAAGGTTTTTTGCCATAGGGATTATGTACCCACTGGAGAGGCAGAGTGGGAAAACAAGAAATAACCTCCCAGGGGTGACTGGACATGCCATAATCCCTCCTCCATTCTTTCGGGATTTGAGCACACATGGCTGGCATGATTTTCAAGCCACCAGGTCTGGAACTTGAGCCATGGTGTCATGTGGGAATCCAGCACATCTTAACTACACCACCACCTGCTGGCCCATATAAAGTACCTTTCAGGGGCCTCTATTCCAGCCTATGTCAGAAGCAATTATAACCACAATGATGGATATGCTGAGTCATAACTCACATATCTCCTCATCCTTCAGTTCTAAATATCAATATAATATAGAGAATTACTCTTTATTCAGATAAAGTTGTTTACATTATCCCACAAAGAAGCTACAATGGACTCAAATGAAAAGATGCAATGATAAACCAGGTGCATTCTCTTAGCTCTCCAATGAGGGCTTGACAAACTACCTAACCACATTTTACTTTTCTTACTTTTTAAAAGGTTTTTTTTTTTTTTTTTTTTTTTTTACTATAGTGTTGAAA